AGGTTTGACGTTACCTTGGTAGCCACTCCGTCAGTGGATGTCTTGGCCCCGAGGTTTGACGTAACCTTAGTAGCCACTCCGTCAGTGGATGTCTTGGCCCCCGAGGTTTGACGTTACCTTGGTAGCCACTCCATCAGTGGATGTCTTAGCCCCCGAGGTTTGGCGTAACCTTGGAAGCCACTCCGTCAGTGGATGTCTTAGCCCCGAGGTTTGACGTTACCTTGGTAGCCACAGTTATCTCTGTCGAGTAGTAGCACTGTTCATAATATACAATTCCTCGTGTCAATTTACAATCGACCAATACGTCTCCAATTTCTGAAATTAATACAATTAAGAGGTTTTATGCACCTCCCTGCTTCAACTGCCATTTTAAAGCCCAATTTGGATTTCAATCTTTTTTTGCTTCTAGCATCACTGATGAATCCTCGGAGAACGAAACGGTTGTATGGCTCGGTGTAATTCATATTTGGCATACTATATTACCAAAGTTTAGGTGTAATCACAAGTGTGTGTTTCTTACGTTTACCAGTCAAGTATCTAGGTTTTTGGTCGTCAACAATCTTAAACATCTAAAATCACGGAAGACATTAACATCTGAAAGGTAGAGATCACAACCATCGTCAAATGTCTTAACCCAAGGCTAAATTGTTCATTGGTCTGAAGGACTAACCATCCTTTAGACCAATGAACAATTTAGCCTTGGGTTGATTCGCGATTTCACAGCCTTCCACGTACGATGGTTAACAATCGTACGTGGAAGGCTATTGAATCGCGAATCAACCTTATGATGAAACCATTTCACACAGACGGGATAAATAAATACAAAATTTCATATTATTCAGTTAAAAGAATGTGTTGTATACAGCGTGTGCTGCACAAAGACACTGACTCATCAGTTGGGAGCCGCCAATCAAGAAGCGTTTCATCCTTCAATCCCAGGACACCCTCCGGGCAGTGGAACCGCAGCGCTGACCAGGCACTACGAGTCAATGGTAAGCTGCCAGGTCTTCCCCTCTTGATCCACAGCCAACTGGATGCTTTCTCTGCTGACTGTCTAAATTACTGTTGAAACAGGGGTGTGTGTGCGTTAACCAAAATAGTTGTGAGAGCGGCAATGTTCTGTTCTTGGCCCACTTTTGATATAAGTATAGGTGGGCAACAAGGTTCTATTCTTTGGCCAATTTTGATATAATTACAGGTGTGCAACATTAGGTTCTGTTCTTGGTCCACAGTTGATAGATGTAAAAACATACACAGTAGATTGCACCTTTAAATTTACAATTTGCCAAAAAAGTGAATTACACTGCAACTGACACCCTCCGGGCGCTGGAACCACAGTGCTTATCAAGCACTACTGCTCTGTTGTTAACTGCCAGCCCTTCTCCTTGATCCACAGTCAGCTGGATGTTGACTGTCCAAGTCTCCCAACAACTCGCTTTCTCTCGCCTTCTTTGATCCCTATGGCACTTTTTGCAGATTGCGCGGGGAATCCTCTGGCGCTAAGCTCAATCGGAAAAAACCATGTTTTCCAACCGCAGCTTCTGCACTGGTCTAAAAGTTCAGTTTACTTGGCATTTTCCACTCATATGCCATGCCGCACCTCGACTTCCATGGGACAGTCTTTAGCAGACCATATTACAATGTCTGTCCTCTGTGTGGTCTAGACAATCTCTGGGAAGACCGACGTCTTTTCTAAGTCGACCCCCATCTCTCGCTGGTCGGACTCGTCTAGGATCGAAGTGGTGATTGAAGCTGGTTTCATGCTTGTCTCTCCTGCCTTGACGAAATCGATCATGGTTGGTGCTCTCTTCTTTCTAGTTTTTTTCTTCCTTTGCTAACGCTGCAGTGAGTCTGCTAACTCCCTAAGGACTGTGTCATGCCTCCACATGTATCGACCATGTGTCAGTGAATTATGGCGCGATGACAGGACATGTTCCATGGTACCTGGCTTGTCACAGAGTTGGCAACTAGGGTCATCCACTAAACCCCATCTGTGGAGGTTGGATGGAGATGGCAACAGATCATAAACTGATCTCAAAAGAAATTTGAGTCACAGTGGCTCGTACTGCCGAATGTCTGACCAAGTTAGCCTCCGCTCTGTTGTTGTCTGGTATGTCTTCTTCCTACACCTGGAGGTTGAATCTTTGTGTGACATTTCCCTTTTTGATTACCAGGCTCCTCGCCTTTTTTGGTTTGAACTTCATTCTTGCCCATGTCGCAGTTGCTCGTACTGCCAAATGTGTGCCCAAGTCAACTTCCGCTCTGTTGTGCTCCACTGGTTCCATGCAAATTGTCCTCCCATTTCGACTGATCGAGCTCGTCTGTTCTCTTCTTCAGTTTCTCTTAACTCCTTATGTATCATCTGGCTCTTTTCCCCTTTGGCTTGCCGAACGCTAGCGTTGTGGTTTGGACACACCAAGTCCTTGTCTTCCCTCCGTTGTTGTCCCGTCAATGTCTTTGTGCCTCAGTCTGCATTGGGACACTGCCTGTCTTGCTGAACATTCACCTACTGTACGTTGCTCTATGCTTGTCCTCCGGATCATGTCGTCTGATGATTTTTTCAATGTCACCACAAATCCTTCGCAACCTTGTACTCTTCCAAAACTGAGGATATTGGGAGTTGTAACTATTTGGTTCTTCCATAGAGACCTATCCTGGTGAAACTGAGTCGGACAACAAGCCCTCTACGAAGGTATCTACGATGGTTCTTTCAAGGCCTTCCCCAGTAGAGATTGCTATCTCATATAACATGAGGGTCCACATGAGTCTTGGCAACAATCAATGTTGAAATAGACATGCCTTAAATTTGCCAGGGAGAGATGTCTGATCTATTTGCTTTAGACCATCCTGGAGTTGGTTCTTGACGCGGCTGTCATTCAGATGGAGGTTGAATATTTGTCTGACATTCCCGTTCTTGATTGCCAGGCTCCTCGACTTCTTTGGTTTTGACTCCATTCTTGCCCGTGCTACTCTCTCATCCAACGCTGAGAGAATCCAACGAGCTTGCACGTGTGTCGTTGTAGTTATGGTCAGGTCATCCATGTTCCTCTGTTAGAAGGTAGGCAAATCTCTGAGACTGTCTTTGATCCTCTGCTTTGCCTCTTTGCTGCGTGGATTATCAAGTTCATCCCCACCACAAATAACACAACTGAAATAGTTCAGCCAGGTTCTATTCCCTTCTCGAGCTTCTTTTATGGTGTTGAACTTTCACCTACAGCAAACCGCAGTTGAATGCAACTGAAGTACCAACTGATGATCCCTTGAACATGGTCTGTGATGTGTTAGTGCTTCAGTGCGGTCTCCATAAGCTTGTGTGGTATGGAAACATAAGCGTTGGCGAGGTTTAGTCAGACAGCTGTGACGTCGTTGTGTTTTACCCTAGCCTCTCTGATGATTTGACTGATGGCACTTGTGTTCCACGCATCCCGAAAAACCTGGTACTCCTCCTTTTTGCAATGAGGTGTCAATGTACTGGTTTGATCTCAGGTAAGTTGTCATTCGTTTGGCCAGCAAAGCAAGTTGAGTATGGAGATGGTTCTGCATTGTGCAATGTTCTTTGTGCCCTTTTCCTTTGGTGTAAATTTTCGCTCTGCCTGTTGCCAACAATCTGGTACTTTGCCTTTCCATCTTAAATACCTTATATGGAATACCATTTGGACCTGGTGCAGACCCTATTCTTGCCCTCTTCACCACTTCGGTTACCTCTTTCAGTGAAGGTTCCTTTGTGTCAAGTAGAGTGGTCGGCTGTACTACTGGTTCAATCCTATGGCAGTTAGTTACCCAATGGGACGTTGCGTGCGTTTCCGTCAGAAACTACGATTTCTCCCATGCTGCTCTTTATCTTGCCTGATTTCTCTTTATCAGGTATATTTTTGGAGAACTTGAATAGATTTGAAATGAACTCAGCTCGACGCTTGGCTCTTTTCTTCCTCTTGTCACGCAGCTGTTCTGGTTTGCGAAGGCTTATAAGTTGTGCCCTCTGGGTATCTCTTAATTGCCGCAGTCCTGACTTCTCTTCTTCCCAGGCCTCTCCATAACTCTTTCAGTTCACACATGATGTCCTTGATCTGCAGCTGCCTTCTGTTTGTCCGTCCAGTTGTTTTTGCAGTTTTCTGAATGATCTGTCCAAATCTTTCTTTCCCGACGGTGTAAACTAGTCTTGTTAAGGATTCCATTTTTCGTTCAGCTGTCTCTTGAAATGTTGTCTCAAGTATTTCATGAAGGTCTTCATCTAGATCTTCTCAGACTTTCTTGTCTGCAGTCTTCGGCCAGAATATTCATGGCTTCCTTGGCAATCCATCCTTGTGAGCTGCTGTAAAGGTTGCGTGCAGAAAGTCCGAGTTTGTATCTGGGTCACTCTGCATTTCTATTAAAGCTGATTGTGGTTCATCATTATCAAATACTTCTCCTTGAACCTCCATTTCTGACTTATGTGTGTTCATAGTAAGCTCCACAGTCGCCGAGAGGTCCCAAGTACTGTGGTTTTGTTCCTGACTAGGATCCTCCATCGTCTCAGACCAGATATAAAACCTGAGCGTTGCTGCCGACTTGCCATGCGCCCACACAGTTTTTGCTTGATGGATGTGCAAGCTCTAAAGGTTCTTGGAGACCTTACTGCACCTACATTTCGTTTCAGCTTTCCTTCCAGTCAAAGTCGATTGGATAAGCCGTGTCGTTACTGTTGCATCCATCCTATTGAGTCTTTCATCCTTCCCCCTCTCGGAAGACTGATGGTATTCATCTGTAATGGAGTCTGTAGGTGAATAATGGGTGTCCTCTCACGGAGACTGCAATCTGGGATGCTACCCCTTCTTGCCTCTGGCCAGTTTGTTTATTGTCACCTGTCTTTCCAGTGTCACCAATCTATTCTTGGTTGCCATCTAGTCTTTCCTAGAATCCACCGGGTTTCCCAGAAAGGTAAGGTGTTGTATACAGCCTGTGCTGCACAGAATATTTATATTTCTTGAAAAACAAATAATAAAGTCACTATTTGATATGTACCATATATTTAATGTACAAAATAACATATGCAATCGATATACAGATAAAAAGATGTTTAATTATATACCTGTTATCAGGTTTTGGAATTAAAATATGTACCCGCTTGGCGCCATCAGCTAATGGATTAAAAAAAATACTCAAGGTAAAACAATCATAAAATCAACTGTATTCATTTTTATATTCATTATGCATCAACAAGCTTTTGCAAATTAATCAATCTCCATTCAAGACACAATATAAATTTAATATATTCGTTGCTTTATGCTGTCGTACTTTCAAAACACATTTTGTTTACCAAAGTGCAGCTTGAAATCTTTCTAATTCCAAGCATTTAATATTTAATTATAATCCAACTTGTAAAGAAATGACGAACAATGCAATGCAAAACGAAATCCATGTATCATAGCTTAATGGTGATATTGCCAGACAGAGCTAAAAAAGAGTTATTCACACTTTAGTATAAGCAAATAATACATTGTATTACACCAAACACATTTAGAGAACAATATGTTAATCTACAGTAAACAAGGCAGTGTTATTTCAGTGAACAGACTATAGTATAGTTTTGTGATATATATAAATAAACATGTATCTCGATTCTCCCATCAACGGCCATATATACGTAGCACATTCACAAGGGATGCAGAGCTCGCTATGATTATCACGATTTCCGTGATAGATGTTAACTACTGACCGACAAACTTACAGTATAAGGTTATGAGAAATTCAGGTTGATGAAGACCATTGGTAAGTTTTAAGGTCTCCATCGTGACTTCGCTGGGAAACTATTATATTTCTTTGTGCTATATGAAGGTCCATGTTTCTGATTATGCTCATAAGGCTGCCTTGTGATTTTGTTGCCACTACCCTGATTCTCACTTTGATGTCATGACATTACTTTGATTTCGTCATGACATTACTTTGATTTCACCTAGAACTACATAGCAAATATCATCAACGCCGCAGAAGGTGCTATTTCGGAACACCTGGTTTTATTCTTGATCATTTTTAAGGGTCTGCAGGTAATTTTTCCCTTTATTCATATTCTGCACTAGTCTTGTTGATTTTGAGTTCCAATATGGTTTTGGTCACACTCTGGTATTATCTTGTGTTTATTTTGAATATGCATCAAGAGTGTGGTTTTAAAAAAATATCTTTTAATGGTAAATTGTTTATAAATATGTTTCAATACTAGCACAACCTTATGATTATTCCACTTGTTTTGGTATGCATTTAGTTTAAATTTACCACTTTGGGAAACTATCACTTTACTAAATTTGATATTTTCATATGCTTAAGACCGTACTTAATCTAATGATATGCTTTATTTAGGAATGTGTTTCAGCTCTGCTACATTTAGAAATATATATAATTAATCAACACCAGACTTACCTCAAAAATGCATTAATTTAGGAATACATATCAGTCTTCTATTATATTAAGAAATATGTACAAAAAAAATAGTATTTAAGTTAAGGTATATGTTTTAACATTGAATATTATTTAGGATTGTAAGTCGCCAAAGCATCACTATATTTTGGAAATGTTTATCGATATTGAACAATTTTTAACATGATGCTTCACCAGGTAGGTCAGGAATAGGTGTCAGCATTGATCTTAATTTATGAATACATTTCAGTGTTAAATTGTATTTCAGACTACATTTCAACATTATTCTTTATTTGCCAAAAACATCTCAACCTTTTGTTTTAAAAAACAAAACCATATTAAGAATAAATGTTATCAGGTGGTATATATCTTTCAACATTGTATTTGAAGAACACGCTTCTTTCAGGATCATGTTTCAACATTGTACTTTACTTATAAATATGTACCAGCATGATACCTTATTTAGGAATATGTTTCAGCATTGTGAATCAGGAAATATATCATAAATGATATCTGAAATGATTTTAGGAATGCATTAATTAAGGAGTGTGTATCAACAGTGTATATTTCAATTAAGAAATAGGTATCATTGTTTTATTAATTAATACCCACCAGTGTTGTATTTATTTACGAATTTATATTAACCAATTAACCAATTTTATTTCGGCAAACATATCTAAGTTTGTTATATTCATGAATATATATCAATATTGTTTGATATTGATCTTTTTTTTCTCTCAAGAATACTGTTAACATTGATTTATTTTAGTAATATCAATATTGTAATCTATTTAGTAACAACAATTTCACCAATGTACAGGAAGACTTATGACTATCGTATTGTAATGGTATACCAGAGATATATTTTCATGATAATAATGTAATAGGAACTAATATCTAAATAATAATGTTATAGGTACTAATATCTAAATAATAATGTAATAAGTACTAATATCCATAGCTTACACAACTGCTGTGGAATGTAAAACAGCAGATATATACAAATAGTGTTTACTTATCTTATTACAGCTAATACTCATTGAATACATAAACAGAAGTGTTTATACTACAGTAATATATTCTACATACATAAGGTCTACTGTCCTACATCATTCATCTGTTAATTTCTTTATCAATATTTGTAAAAAAAAATTGAATAAAGGAACACCCATTTAATGGTATTTTCAGGACCCAGGCCTTCCGATACTAATCAGACCTAAGATTAGCCTTTATTGATGGTACTCGGAACTAAGAAACTGTCTTTTGGTGGCATTAAGAATCTAGAAAAACACTTGTTCAGGTACCCAGAATCTAGGATTAGCAATTTTGACAGTTATCAGAACCTATAAATGGCTTTTCTGAAGTGATGCCTTTGTTGATGGTATTCAGAACTGAGGAACAGCCTTTTTTGTCGGAATTAACAATGTAGTAATAGTCTTTTTGATAATATTCAGATGTCTATGTCTCTTTTCATAGAAGTATTATAAACAAAAAGTCAATGCCATAAAATAAGGGTGATGAACACAACATACTTTAATGCCCATTGAAGTTGAACACTACAAGACTACATGACAAGTGATCTTGGCATTTAATCTACATGCCATATTGTCCCTGTTTTGATCGACTTAAATGCACTCCTTTTGTCCATGTCATGCTTGCTACACAAGCGTTGCAAAGGAAAAGATAATAAAATCTAAATATCAGTTATTGCTGTATATTCAACTTTGACATCAGGATATTCTGTTTGAACAAATACTTGTTACTCAAATTTAAAAAATCAAAATATTCTTGACAACAAAATATGTAAAAGAACATTTTCAACAACTAGCACCATTACTTATTGCCACCATTTTACTTTGATATCTGCGTGTGACCCTTTTTTATTTTTCAAGGGTTCCCAGAGAGCCTGTATCAGTCACCTGGATATATAAGCAATTGTGGCAAAATTTTCTCATTGAAAGTAGTATTATGAATATTTTCCCATATCAGGCTCTATCTCTCTGGTCCCAAGGATGCTTCATAGCAAATCTGGTTTAGATCTGTATGCATGTACATATGGTTATAGGGTTGGGATCTCAATGGTTTCATTACCTGAGAATAAGTCTCATGGGGTGGGGCCAGATCCTGGAGCTAATCCTGGTAGCAGACTTGTATTTTTTTCTTCATGCCCAGTAAGCAGAGCAACGGTTATATGATGGGGATCTCAACCGTTTCCAAGTTATGACTGAAAGGCTAACAAAAATGTTTGCATTACTGGTCATCATACTATTTACAAGTATCCTAGCTCTAGAGCTTGTGATTCTCATGTTATGCTGTTTTATCTTTTAACATAATTGACCCCTGTAAACTCAAAGTAGGTCAATGGCATATATATAAGTAAAGTTAAAGCACTCCTATGTCAAGGTCATAGATATAAGTAAAGTTATAGCACTCCTAGGTCAAGGGCATAGATATAAGTAAAGTTATAGCACTCCTAGGTCAAGGTCATATATATAAGTAAAGTTATAGCACTCCTAGGTCAATGTCATAGATATAAGTAAAGTATAGCACTCCATTGCAGGTACATACTGGCCAAACATTAGGAACCTGGGACATGCAGGACTTAAGAAATTCTTTTAGGTTTTTACCCATTACAACCAATGTTAACCTTTCACTCCTGTCACATCTTAAACTTTATCTTTTGATCTAAACAGGACATGCACCGCTGGTCTTAATATCATATCCAAGAATCATGGCTTTAGACCTATAGTCCTTCAGAAAATGTTGCTTGAAATTTGTTAGCATATTTGAACAATGTGACCTTGAAAGTAGGACAAGGTAATTTATATGACAAAACTACATAGCACTCCATCCAAGGAACCTACAGGCCAAATATCAGGACCCTGGGACCCTCAGTTTTAAAACCGAAGTTGACAAACAAACGACGAATGCTGCACCATTAGATCATAAGCATTCCATCAAAAATCAGAAAACACACAGAAATATTCAATAGCTACTGGAGCATGCATACAAATTGTAAATAGCTATTTTGCCATGCACTGAAATAGTTATTGCAATTAGAGCATGCAAAGAAAGAGAGTAAAAGCTACAGGATCGTGTTCAGGAGAGAGTAAAAGCTACAGGATCGTGTTCAGGAGAGAGTAAAAGCTACAGGATCGTGTTCAGGAGAGAGTAAAAGCTACAGGATCGTGTTCAGGAGAGAGTAAAAGCTACAGGATCGTGTTCAGGAGAGAGTAAAAGCTACAGGATCGTGTTCAGGAGAGAGTAAAAGCTACAGGATCGTGTTCAGGAGAGAGTAAAAGCTACAGGATCGTGTTCAGGAGAGAGTAAAAGCTACAGGATCGTGTTCTGGAGAGAGTAAAAGCTACAGGATCGTGTTCAGGAGAGAGTAAAAGTTGCAGGAACATGCATGGAAATAGGAAAAAAATACTTAGACACACAAAATATAGTAAAATATCTGCTGGATCGCACATAGAAATAGTTAAAAGATATAAAGATATTCACAAAAAGAGTAAAATACATGTAGCTGCTGGATCATGCACAAAAAATAGTACATTGCTACTTGGACATACAAAGAAAACAGTAAAATAGCTTCTGGATCATATACAGACATAAAAGCAATTTTAGAAAATCAAAAACTATAAAAAGAGGGTATCATACAAAAACTTTAACGGCAAAATTAGAATCATTCTTATACATGTATAAAATTTACATTACATAACTTAAGTGGTAATAAAGGCGACTGGGAAGTCCTGAGGTACATTGGTAGCTGATTAATATATGGTTTCATTGTAAAACAATGGAACAGTATTCTGCTATGTTATATATCTGTGGATAACAAATAATGGCTGGACAGGTATCAAACTGACCCTACATGACAGGTAAGCTTTAATATTATACAGGTGGATAGGTGTCTATAGGTAAAAATCAATCACATGGAATGCTCTTGTATACAGGTGATTAAATTACTTATTTAAAATGTTTACAAACTTAACAATACACAGCAGTTGGACATTTTAATTCATATCTAACAAAATAATTGTACATGTTTCAAAAGTTAACAAAACAAAACAATTACTAAAGAGACCTGACAAACTGATGTAATGGTCTGAGGTATAATCAGATGTATAGGAATGGGAATTAAAGATCACTGAGTAATCCTCAGAGCTTTAGTATAGATAATCTGCTTGTGTCTCCCTAGATGGAGTTTTCTCTTTTAATTTGAAGGACAGGTCTATTTGACATCTGACAGAGATTGGTCAAGTGGTGGAGCCACTGGTCTGCCATGCAGATGACTGAGGTTCAATTATGGGTAGTCTCCCACTGGTGCGGGGTCTAATCATCAGAATAGTCCCTCAGAACCACGGAGTAACTACACTGCAATGTTTCTGTGTACTCTCCCACTGGTCCGGGGGCTACCCATCAGAATAGTCCCTCAGAACCACGGAGTAACTACACTGCAATGTTTCCACTTAGACAATCCACTAAAAAGTAACAACAGGACACAGGGGTTGTTACACCTTTTATGCATCATAGTCAATACTACATACTCCTGACATACGTGTGTACTATATCTACAACTTCTACATCAGTATGGCTGGTGCCTGTGCTCTAACAAACAGGCAGTGCTCTGGAACACATACTCCTGACATACGTGTGTACTATATCTACAACTTCTACATCAGTATGGCTGGTGCCTGTGCTCTAACAAACAGGCAGTGCTCTGGAACACATACTCCTGACATACGTGTGTACTATATCTACAACTTCTACATCAGTATGGCTGGTGCCTGTGCTCTAACAAACAGGCAGTGCTCTGGAACACATACTCCTGACATACGTGTGTACTATATCTACAACTTCTACATCAGTATGGCTGGTGCCTGTGCTCTAACAAACAGGCAGTGCTCTGGAACACATACTCCTGACATACGTGTGTACTATATCTACAACTTCTACATCAGTATGGCTGGTGCCTGTGCTCTAACAAACAGGCAGTGCTCTGGAACACATACTCCTGACATACGTGTGTACTATATCTACAACTTCTACATCAGTATGGCTGGTGCCTGTGCTCTAACAAACAGGCAGTGCTCTGGAACACATACTCCTGACATACGTGTGTACTATATCTACAACTTCTACATCTGTATGGCTGGTGCCTGTGCTCTAACAAACAGGCAGTGCTCTGAAACACTTTTCTTCAATTGCATATATATATGAACAAAATTAACACAATGATTTTTCAATGTGGCTAAACAAAACGTGTGTTAACTTATACAGATGAATAACATTTAATGTGATTAATTAATTGCTAATGAACAAAGCATGGCTGATTATCAAAGCATCTGAAACATTTGTTCAACAACATTTCATGTTGACATTGTATTTCAACATCATCATTCTTACATGGTCATTCTTCAACTAACGTACAGGCCTTGGAGCTAGAAGAGGAGCTAAATCATCAAACAAAATGTTTGTAAGGCCAAAAAGTGTGAAATATAAGTTTCACTACCTTTCACATGTATAATCAATTAGTCTTCTACAATAACAATGATTCTGACATAGGAAACAAGAAATAATAATAAAAAAATCACTTTTTTCTGTGTAAAACAAAAATTGGTTTACTAAAAGAAAAGTGAAATTTTCCCCTTTACCTTTAATTTCATATATATCCCCATTGTATATCATGAGGGCCTGTATCTACTATAGTAGTAAAGTTAGAAACAACAGGCAAGTTACCAGTATAGTCGGCACCCTGAACAATACAACTGTCTTGATTAATTTTCTATTAGGCAACTTTTTTTACATTGTCGGAAATAATTTCACTGCCAGAACACATTAGATGGACTTGACAATGATTATCTTTGTAGGCAATCTTTTTGATGTTAGTTGCACCATGCCTGTATACATGTTTTAGTAGAAGTCGGAATCCAATTCCTCCAGGTCAGTGCTGGCTGAAGTTTCGAGAGAAGACTCTCGTATACAGGAATCTCGTAAACTGTGGCTGGATTCAAGCCTGGACGCCAACAGAATCTGTTTTCTCTGAAAATGGAAATTGAAAATAAAAGATGTTGTTCTACATGTATTACGTTACATGTGGAAACAAGAATTACTGGTGGAAACCTAACCTACAAAATACAAAAATGTACTGAGTGTTATGTTATACGAGATTCAATACAATTGTTAAATGCAATATTTTTCATCCTATTATTTCACTATCCATATTTTTTGTCACAATTCAATCCAAACCTGCAGTTTGTAAACAGTTTTGAAAATATTTCGGGTTAAATTTCGATGAACATTAAAACAAAATAGATCTCAAACACGAAATTTAGTCCAAATTAAGAAGTAAATTCTACACAAATGCAGGAATTTAAAGTTAAAGTTCAATGAATAAGAAAAACAACAATCTCAAATGTATTAATTGTATGGGCTTAAAAGTTTAATCTAAATATCAATATTTCTAAGCTGTTTTGAAAGTATTATTGTGATGAATAATGGTAGAAATGAATAAATGGAATAGAATTAGTATAAAATATAACAAGCGGCCCATGAGCCTTAACGGTCCCCTGAGTCCTACAGTATTCATTTTTGTTGTTGAAATATGAAGTGGAGATAATGATGTCAATTTGAGTAAAAATAAGTTAAGTATAACTTTAAGTTAAGTTTGTCAGGAAAATGAGTTGATCATTCCTAGACTGAGTTTCAGTAAATACGACATATTAGAACTTGATTTTAAGTTTGATTTTTTTTTTTTCAAAAATGGCAGCAATGGCGGCCGTATTGAATTTCTGAATGACCTGAAAAATAACAACACTTTGTCAGGACCATGAGTTGATCATTCCTAGCAAGTTTCAGTTAAATCGGCCAAGGAGAACTTGACTTTAAGTTTGAAATAGTTTTTTAAAATGGCCAGCACTAGCGGCCATATTGGATTTTTGACCGACCCAAAAAATAACAACACTTTGTCAGGAACATAAGGTGATCATTCCTACCAAATTTCAGTTAAATCAGCCAAGTTGAATTTGACTTTAAGTTTGAAATAGTTTTTCAAAATGGCCCGCCCTGGTGGCCTTATTGGATTTCTGATCGACCTGAAAAATAACAACACTTTGTCAGGACCATGAGTTGATCATTCCTACTAAGTTTGAGTTAAATCACCCCAGATGAACTTGACTTTAAGTTTGAAATAGTTTTTCAAAATGGCGGCCTTGGCAGCCCTATTGGATTTCTGATCAACCCGAATAATAACAACACTTGGTCAGGGAGTTGTCAGTAACATTCTGATGAAGTATCTCAATGAAATCCCTTTTACAGTATTTCAGCTTAAGTTGATAACGTAAAATGTTAACAGACGACAGGCGACGACTGACGAAGACGGATAGCAATAGGTCACTTTAGCTAAAGCTCAGGTGACTCAAAAATGTACTATAGAATAAAATTAAATATTCACCTCATCATCATAGGTGAAAATGCGCCTCTCAACCCTCGGGGCGAGTTGACACTGCTCCGTTTCGATCTCGTGCACGCTGGCTTGACGCACCAGGCGGCTAGGTAAGTTGACACACTCCATTGACTTACTCTTCTGATGGACCAGGCTCTTCTTCCTGTAGCATCACAACAACAGCCTGATTCTAATTATATCATAACACTGTGGACCAAGCTCTTCTTCCTGTAGCATCACAACAACAGCCAGATTCTAATTATATCATATCCCTGTGGACCAGGCTCTTCTTCCTGTAGCATCACAACAACAGCCTGATTCTAATTATGTCATAACACTGTGGACCAGGCTCTTCTTCCTGTAGCATCACAACAACTTCCTGATTCTAATTATATCATAACACTGTGGACCAGGATTTTCTTCCTGTAGAGTCAAAACAACAGCCTGATTCTAATTATATCATAATACAGTCACCCAATCTCATGTGACATCATTAATAACAGGACATCAGAAAATGGGAAAGTCAATGTTCATGTCCAGAAATACCTTGGGTACATAACAGAAAGTGCTTCAAAATATATTTTCTGAAAGTAAATGTAATTCTCATAAGAAAGTGTTCAACTATTAAGAAGATATGGTTGGGAAAAATATTACAATTATATACCAAATCTCACATGACATAATAAATAATGGAACATCAGACAATGTGAATGATACATCAGAAAATGGGAAAGTCAATGCTGCTGTCCAGAAAGACCTTACAGGTACAAAACAGAAAGTTCTCTAAAAGTAAACCTAAGTCTCAAGAAAGTGTTCAACTATTAAGAAGATAAAGTTGGGGAAAATATAATAATTATTAAACCTTTGACCCATTGTCTTAAGAGACTGTCTGTGACAATTTGAATGGGACTTACCTGACAAGGCTAACGAGACTCTGTCTATGTCCTGACTTGCAGGTTTTGATTCCTTGTTTGATAAGGATAGACTCAAAGTGATTCCGTACAGCCGTACTCAATGTACAGCACTGTTCTGATGACACCTGCCATACAGATACAATACTGTTAATGATTTTATGAGCATGTTATTTTTGTTATTTCAATAAGTTATTCAAAATGAATTTATTTTTATTTTTTGTGGATTAGTACTCGTCTTGAACTTTGATACATCATCTTGACTGGGTAAATTGAACTTTGTTTTCTCCAGATTGCATCAAACTATGTTAAACCTTATTTTACCTATATGTAATAGGGTAAGGACATTTTAGTTTTAATCTTAAAATAGACATGATTGAAAATGAAATGTTTTATTATTTACATATCCATAAAATTGAGCCAGACCTGGTAAAGCAGGACAAAAAATATTATTGAGTCAATGTATTTTGAAAGTAAATATGTATACTGGGTAAATTATCCGGCCTAAATCATTACCAAATCAGGAACAAAGGTGCAAAATGTTAAAACAATCTGCGCCCACAACTTACAAGGACATCACAATTCTTGAAAACTTCATATCCGTCTTTACCCATTGCGATATATTCTTTAGTACACAAACTGTAAATCTGAAAGACAAAAAAATCATCTGATATCTCCAAATGAAAGTATTTTGATGGGTCTCTTTTAGTTTCATATTATTTTATATTAAACTAGAAGATGTTTGTAAGACATGAATGACCCCATGGCCCCATGGTTAACATATAAATAGGAACAGTGACCTTGGTGTTGACCTTGGGACCCTGAAAACTCATCTGAGGTATTCTTGTACTTGATCTTTGTATAAACTTTATTGAAAATCTGTCAAGAAATGAAGTCTGTAGAGTTATGTCAATGAATCGTGATAGGAGTAGGCTCAGTTGGATGGAATAGGATGGGTAACATTAAATGTCTCTCCCCTCCATAAAATGGCAGGAGCATTAAAAAAGTGTACAAGGAAAAAGTATGGCTGTGTCCCACAAACATTCTTACATATGAGATATCCTTTGTAAACACTGTACCGCGACTGATTTGCATTATACATCTAAAGTAAGATTATAATCACAACATACTCAAGCTTCACCGATTAAGTGGGTTTATAAGTTTATTTGACTGACTAGTTTCACCTCTAATGCAACTTGCATTATAGCTATTTTTTTCACAAATGTTTTCAGGTTTTCTTCAGATTTATTTCTCCATTAAAATTTCTTCATAAAAAGTCAGTGAAATATCAAAGATGTAAGAATAAAAATATGCAATTGAAATCACGGACAAATTCGATAAAGAAATTAAAATACTTGCACATCACCTGACATCTGTATTGAATATTGAAATTTTATAAATCTGCTTTATATTACCTTATTGAGGACTAGATAATCCTCCTGTACTTTGACGAGGGCTGGGTCCACTCTGTTACCGCTAGGCTTACTGGGGTCAAAGCCGTAGGACATACCAGACACCTGTGGAAACCTGCCTTCAAGCTTTGGATACTGAGAAACTCCATTTTCTAGAGCTTGCAGTATCTGCTCTCCTAAGAAAGATATAAAAAAAACAACTCAAACACATATATATCTCCTTTTTCCTATTAACAAAATCTTCATGTGTTTGAACAGCACACTTAGGTTTTATTGTTATTTTATGTAATATAATTCACACAAAAATAAACAGGTGAAAAACACACCAAATAACTTGGTAATAAAAATGATTTTATTCCTGTTCATGGCACATTCATTCCTCTTCCGTACATTCCCGCTATTGGTCTTTTACACTACATCCACTTTCAGTCTCCATTCTAACTAATCTATGACTAGCACTAAAACTCTAAAACTAACATAAACATGGCTACTCTAACACTACAAAAACTTAAATCTGACGGTTCTGAAGTGCACACTTTCCATAATACACTGTACATGTGTATGACCCCAGTATTTATAGGTGCTAAATTAGCTAGCATGACTATTTGTCAAAGTGATGATCAGGTGATGCTGTGCAGGTGGACGTTGTTGGTTGATGTAAGACTTAACTAGTACTGACTGAAATTAAATAATTTATTCAACACAGTACCTTGGCCTCGTTCTATATTTAGGGTTTCCCAAATAGAAATCAATACTACTACCAGTATATATTCTACCAGTCATTACAGAAGTACAAGTCTGCTGGATAACCGAACTACTCGGTAGTGAAGCGGACGTAAAACCTATCAATCAATCACAGAAGTACATAAGAAAGGCACAGGTACATAAACGTGACTTACCTGTGACTTTTAACACAACCAAAGGATCTACTAGTGGAAGGATAGTAAGCAAGTCTCTCAGTTTGAATTCTCCCTTGTCATGGATTCTGTCCGAACGGAAAGTTCCCGAGTTCAACAATGCCACATCTGCTTTTGAGATTTCTAGCATGACATCTGTCACTAAGTTACCTAGAAACATTAAACCAATTGTCATATATGACCATCGTTTATCAGTCAGCAAAGATTTTATAGGAATATATCAAATAAGCATGGACTGCAATTTAAGTTATGTCACACGGAAACCTATTTAAGTTGGAATTTTGCATAAAACATAGCTTTATTATCATATCAATTAGTACAGGGAATTGTTATGGATTCAATGAAATGCTTCCCATAATGTCAATCGTGATATTTTACAAACCTAAGTTAGTCTCACTGCTACGTATGGAAGAAAACTTGCCATCCATTTCTACTGCCATCACCCCTAAATGTTCATCCATTTTGCTATCAACTTGTCCTGAAATGTGAAAAGATTTTTTTTAATATTTCCCCTGTGATAAACCCGAGGACAGAAACCAGAGAATGGAGGTAAAATAAGCACTGGGGTTTTTCAAAGCTTTGACCTGGTTTACTGCTTATTATCAGGTTTCAGCAGAGCCTCATCTGTAAGTGGAGTTACCATGTTATCACTGGAAATTGTAACAAGAGGCCCATTGGGCCTGCATCGCTCACCTGGTATTAATCTCACATTTGTAATCTTAAAAGTGGACTAAAATACAGCTACAGGCAGAATATCAGTGTTTGATTCATAAGAACCTATTAAAAGATTTAAACATATGGTGCCTGTGACCTTGAATGTCGAACAAGGACATCAGGTTGAAAGTGGATCAAGGTCATTCATTTGATTAAACTTGTTAGTCCTTCATCCCAGCATGCTACAGGCCTAATTTCAGTACCCTGGACCTTTTGGTTATTGAGAAGTTGTTTGAAGATTTTAAAACATTTGACCCCTGTGACCTTGAAAGCTGGTCAAGGTCATTCATTTGAACAAACTTGGTAGCTCTTCATCCCAGCATGCTACAGGCCCAATATCAGTACCCTGGGCGTTTTGGTTATTGAGAAGAAGGCATTTGAAGATTTTAAGACATCTGACCCCAGTGACCTTGAAAGTTGGTCAAGATCATACATTTGAACAAACTTGGTAGCCCTTCATCCCAGCATGCTACAGGCCCAATATAAGTACCCTGGGCCTTTTGGTTATTGAGAAGAAGTTGTTTGAAGATTTTAAGACATCTGACCCCAGTGACCTTGAAAGTGGGTCAAGATCATTCATTTGAACAAACTTGGTAGCCCTTCATCCCAGCATGCTACAGGCATAATATCAGTTCCCTGGGCCTTTCGGTTATTGAGAAGAAGTTGTTTGAAGATTTTAACATATTTGACCCCTGTGACCTTGAAAGTGGGTCAAGGTCATTAATGTGAACAAACTTTGTAGCCCTTCATCCAGGCATGCTACAGGCCTAATATCAGTACCCTGGGCCTTTTGGTTATTGAGAAGAAGTTGTTTAAAGTAAAAAGTTGACGCCGGACAGACGGAGGACGGACGCCGCACCATAACATAAGCTCACTTGTCCTTCGAGCAGGTGAGCTAATAATATATCAAATAATTCAAACTTCATATTTGAAATAAATATCCAAATGTCTAAAGTTTATGGAGAAAATATTCATTTTTTACAGATGTCAATTAATAAAATCTGACATAAAGTGATGTCTTGTTAGTTACAGCCATCTCCATTTTTAGTTACAGCCGTCTCCATTTTTAGTTACAGACATCTCCATTTTTTGGGTACAGCCATCTCCATTTTTAGTTACCTGTATATATTGGGAGAATTTTTTTCACCAAAATGATGGCTGGAAAGTGGGGCAACCAGACAGTTGATGGCTAGATTAACAAGGATGGACTGTATTTTTTGTAAAGGCATATAAATAGTCACTTGATTGATAAAAATACAAAAATAATATTTTTTTACCTAGCAACTGCCCGACGATGTCCTTGACCTCTTGGTTCTCCTCCCAACTAGAGTCCAAGTCAACCCTTGTGATATCCAGATTAAGACCAGACTCATCCTTTCCTATTGTGATCTTACTCAAGTTTCTGAAGTCTGTTCCACTTTTCACAATATACTTCCCATTAACCTTAAACAAAAAGTGCTCCCATTTAACAAAACTTTGACATATCAACCACGAATAAAAACAATCATACACCATGGTTACAAACTTACCATAATGGTCATATATCAAAATAACTGTAAAATCTTAAATAAGCAGTCTTTTATCACCGAAGAAATTATAAAGGATTACAATTTAGAGGACAGGCAAATATTTCAGTAATTAGAGCAAGTTAAGGAGAAATAAAATGTGCCATGGAAAACAACACCTTGTAAATCAAAAGTAAAATGAAAAGGTGCTATTCTGAATACAAAAACTAAGATTGTTACCATTTCTACATTGTAGTCGTGATCATGGCCTCCAAGGATTATATCAATTTCGTCACATTCTTCTGCTAGCCGACGATCATTTGGCCACCTCATGTGTGTCATAGCTATGACAAAGTCGGCTCCCTAAACAAGCCAATCATCATACCACATAATACACATTTATCTAATAACAGGTACACTACAAATAGTACTCCCCAACAATATTTCTAACCCTTGAAACCACTTTCATCTTTGAACTTTACTTCTGCAATTGTCTTCAAAATACGAGGTCCTAACACAGCTAACATATGTGATACACATACTTTTGACTTATAGTCATCAGTATTTACCTTAGTTCATGTTATTTGACTACTGAACATTAAAATGCAAACAATCTGAGTTTAGCCACACAATGTTAAGTAAAGTCGTTAGATCTATGAAGTTTCTTTATAAGGCTGAAGGTCAGTTGAGAAAAAACTCAAGGATTTTGACCTTTAACTCAAATTTTGATGTAGACCTTGAAAACAAGTCACGAAAAAAGAGAAGATATGTTAAGAAATGTCTTGACATATAAATTGATCCCTGACTTTCCATTGTGACTTTGTTCCTGTGTCTTGAAGATGCTATATAAAGGTATAAATTTCATTGATATATCTTCAGTAATGAAGAAATGATGCCCCAGATGCACCACTTTTGTTGTATGTTTTGCAAAATTTACAGAAAATAAATATTCTTCTACATGTATCTTGTAATTAATACAACCATTACCTTTGACCTCTAGGTAAAACATTGAAATATTCTTGTACAGGTAATAAAGAAGTTATACTCCATTAAGAAAACTTCAATTTCATCTCACAAATACCAATAAGTCTGTAATTTGTTCATCATTAGATTCCAAAATATATACTACTTTCAGTTATCAGCTAAGAAAATAAATTCAATTACAGATAAAAATAATAATGCATGTACCATTCCATACAGTATGGACAAAAGAGAGCAACTCCATAGAAGAATCTTACATAATATTTCCTACTTAAAATATTAGACAGGGTGGTCAGGTGGCACAGTGGGTAGTGCACTCGCCTTTCACCAAGACGTGGGAATTCGATTTCTGGATCGAACGAGAAAAGATATGGGGTCACCTGCCCATTCATCATTGGCATGAGTGTTTTCTTCGGGTGCTCAGATTTCCTCCCACATTAAGACCCTCCGTGCGTTTCCACCCAGACCAACAAGAGTGATTCATATAGGTTGATAAACTTTTTTCATAATTATTGTAAAATTTTATTAAAAAATATATTAAATACACTACCTCCTGTTTTAGACGATGTCCCAACTCCTTTCCTCTCACAACAAAATTCTCAAAAGTAACATCCTCAGGATCCAGTGTGGCCAGTGTGTCAATCCATTCCTCCTCAACCAGTCCAACAAACCCTATCTGGAACACGGCAGTAAACATCTTACTGTCGATTAATTAATTAATTACCACCAGTCCAACAAACCCTATCTGGAACACGGCAGTAAACACCTTTCTGTCAATTAACTCATTGTCACCAATCCAACAAACCCTATCTGGAACACGGCAGTAAACACCTTACTGTCAATTAACTAATTATCACCAGTCCAACAAACCCTATCTGGAACACGGCAGTAAACACCTTACTGTTAATTAACAAATTATCACCAGTCCAACAAACTCTATCTGGGACATGGCAGTAAACATCTTGCTGTCAATTAACTAATTATCACCAGTCCAACAAACCCTATCTGGAACACGGCAGTAAACATCTTACTGTCAATTAACTAGTTATCACCAATCCAACAAACCCTATCTGGAACACGGCAGTAAACACCTTACTGTTAATTAACAAATTATCACCAGTCCAACAAACTCTATCTGGGACATGGCAGTAAACATCTTACTGTCAATTAACTAATTATCACCAGTCCAACAAACCCTATATCTGGAACACGGCAGTAAACACCTTACTGTCAATTAATTTATTATCACCAGTCCAACAAACCCTATCTGGAACAAGGCAGTAAACACCTTATGGTCAATTTATATCTCATATAAAGTAGGAAAAAATTTGAGATTCTTTTATCACATTCCCAAAATATTTATTTTAATCTTGATTCTTGCTTACTATTTTAGCATGACATCACAATGTTACAGAAACAAATATAAAACATGCATGGTAGTTGTATTGTAAATATCTATTTATCTATGTTGTTTTTTATGGATTTTTTCAGCAATGTATTGCCTAGAACAACAACTTTATACATGTATTCAAGGTGTACACCATCCTCGATACTCCACATGTATTCAAGGTGTACACCATCCTCGATACTCCAGGGGTTTAACGCTCACTTGCACTCTCTGAAGAGTAGGAAGACCAGATCATAGCGAATTGTAACCCTTGGCTAGCAAAGATGGGTGTTCACAGGAAGACTTACCAGGAACTAACCAACACACATGTACCATAGTTACCGTATCATTTCTAAAGGGAATGAAATCCTGACAAATGTTCTAGTACACCTGACTAGTACTAGGGAGAGTATTAAACCTGTCTTCAATGTCCATATATAATGTAGCAAATTGAGATTCCTTTAAAAGCTTAGTTACCTCATCGTTTACTAGTGTGAAATATCTATGATATTTGGCGGAATCAAACTGTCTAGACAAAGTAACCTTGTGATCACATACAAAATTGTTCCAAATGAATACCTGGAATTTCAGGGAAATTGAAAAATGATTTATTTTAATTATGAACCAGAAATTGCAAATATTCTTAAAAGTTTGAATTTTTGTGATCGATTCCAGGTCCGGATTGCCAATGGTAATACATTATATATTAGGCCAATGGAACCTTATCAAACTAGTACCTTGAATCCATTCCACTCCATCATGTGGGTAACCTTTCCTTCAGCCAGTGCCTGATGTGTTAGGTTATCTGTTACATTGCTTATTAGCCATGGGAAATTAGTCCGCTTTCTAAAGCTTTCTAAGTGGTCAACTCCAAAATCTTCAACAAAATGCACACAAACATTCAAACATGAATCACACACTGTAACAAGCATGCCATGCTCAGCCTCATGAGTAGAGATTAATTTGCCAATATAGCGATCAGGCCCTGATTTTTTTAAAGTTCGTACAAGAGATCATAGTACGATGTTTATCAGGATTTGCTCTTTATTTTCCTTATAGGTACTATTACCCAGTCCCATGTTGGAAATCTTAACTGGAATCTTGTACATTAACTTAAACAAATGTTTTTGCATAAGAATTGCATCACTATATGCAAAAATGCAAAAAAAATATAATTTATTATTCTTACATAATTAGAAGTGCTGTCAATGAGGAATAAATTCTCATTAGGTTCAAGGGTATATTTGATAAGGAAACCAAGGAGAACATTATTATAAAATTTGAGAAAGATCTCTCTAGTACTTTCTGAGAAGCTTAATAGAGATAACAAAACTTAAATGTCAAAATCCAAGACGGCTGCCTGTCAGCCATTTTTTTACTGATTAGTCTCAAAAGTCAACATGCTCAACAAGAGACTAAGGGAAACCTACGTATTAAGTTTGAGAAAGATCCCTTTCCAGTTTTCGTGCTTTTCAAGAAATAACGATAACAAGCCTTAACTGTCAAAATCCAAGATGATCACCTGTCAGCCATTTTATCTATCTGATCATTCTCAAAAGTAAACATGCATAACTAGAAGCTAAGGATCAAAGAAAACTTAGATATTGTTTTTTTTTAAAAGAAATCAAGACTCTATTGATCATCATCTATAATTATATGTAAACTTTACCTCCAAAAAACTTGTTTCAAGTTAAATTTTCCACTCTTTGTTCCAAGTAAATTACTGTATTTTACCGGTAATATGCCCAGAGTCCTTGTGCAAGAAATGGGTCAAAAGTGAAGGGGATTGTGCTTAGGCCAAAATAAAAGCCTGGTATGTGTTTTCCAGGATTCCCAACAAATCCTAGATTTTTTCTGCCGATCTTAGAATTTTATCATGTACATACTTGCATTTAAGATTAATTTACTAGCCAGACAAGTTCATGGCTACTCAATAAAATGTACTTTCATCCTGTTCTAGGAGTCTTCACCCTATTCTTGGCCATTTTGATGTGCACAATTGTATTGTAAAGTTTGATATAAAGCATAACATTGATGCATGAAAATGAAAAACATAAGTACATGTACAAATTATTTGCCTACTGACCTACCCTATTTTTTACGGGCATGTTACCTGAAACACGCATATCATTTTCTTGGCTTTATTACTACTGGATGTTAATGTGTATTTTACCAGTGATAGGCTTGGTAAACAGTTACCACAACGCATGGTTGACTATGTAAAAGATTAGTTCAGGTTAAGCTTGGCTTCAATGGGTCCAGTATAATTTGCACTGTACTGATAAACCGCAGGGTTTGGGGCAATAAAGAATGAACGATACAGTTAAGTTAATGTATGCTTAGCCTATGATACAACAATATGCAAAACAATACATGTACATAAATCTGCAATTATTCATTTCAAGAATTGAAATCCTCAGGAATAATTAAGCAGTCCAATAATGTGCACATAACATAGTTTGGCAAAAACTATAATTGGTTCATTAGTAAATGTGATGGATACCAGAGTTAGGAATTAGGTGGCAAATGATCATCCCTTCATAGATTAATTTTCATTAATTATAATTAACCAATCAGTCAGTATCAACTCCATTTAATTGTCACTTTGAAAAGGATGTTGTCTGTTGTAAAATGTAATATTTCTAAATATTTTTAGAAGATGCTAAATTTCTAACACATTTAAAACACTTAGTATTGTGACTAGAAACAAAAATTCTATCAAAACTTTCCACTTGCTTCCTTACACCGGTGAAGAAGAATTTTCAAAACACCTATTATGACAAATGTAACAGATGAATGTAAATCAAGGTGCTTATTCAATGGATTTTTATTTTGAATTACAATCAAAGTAACATTAGTGAATACCAATACAAGTTCTTACCAAAGTCGTGATTGCCGTACACGGCACAGTGGACTCCAATGGCATTCAGTACAGGAATCATCTGTTCTCCTTTCATAAATATACTTACTGTAAACAAAAACAAATCAACTGCAGTCAGAAGTATTGTTCTCCTTTCAAAAATATACTTATTGTAGTCTACTTAAAAAACAATTCAACTGCAGTCCGAAGTATAAGACAATTCCTTATAAAGATCAAATGATAATTTTACATGCAAATCTTGATTCCTGTATGTTAGGAATTATGATGGGACCCATAGAATTACTAGAAATACTGAAATTTTCGATGGCTCAACCCATAAAATCAAGAAAACTTTTACCAGTCCACCTACGTATTGTAGCAGATCTCAAGGCTTTAATGAGATTTCCAAAAGATTTAAAATGAATTTATGATAGTTTGTGTGAAATTTAGAAAACACTAAATGGGGAAACACCTTTACCGTTGCACTCAAATCTATCAGCAGAACAAGTGACCATATGACCCTCACTTACATCTGTAGTTATATGAACCCAGCCCCATAGAAGCTAGACTGTTCCTTTTTAAAATCAATTGATTCCCAGGTCCCAAGGGAGCAGGACACTATATTGAGATCTCCTGGTGCAAGATTTTGGGAAGGAGGTGATAACCTATAGAATGTAAAGCGGAGAAGCCAAACATTTATGATGTATAGTCCTGAGATATATCCTTGACATATAAAAGGTTTGAATCTTACTAAAATATATGTAGGGCGATTAGGTGATGGCCTATTTTGATAATACATGAGTAATCAATATGGAATTAATATATACCACATTTGATATACTGGTAGTGCCCTATATAGCTAGAATAAGCTACTCTAAAGCGCTTTACAGTACATAGATAAACAATTTTATACAATCGATACAATTAGCATATACATTAATCAATACAATTTTTAAGGAGTTTGCAAGGAGCTGCCATATCAGGCGCTAACTTCTAGTCCTATGTAATGCATTTTCTCACTAAAGAACAACTAAAAACAATCATAATCAGTCACCTAAGTGACCCAGGTAACATAAAAAAATTCTTCCAAATAATATACATACAAAGAAAAACATTAATTTGGATGCCGGAACATTAAAATCATACAATGAATATGATATATAATTTACTTACAGAGAGATGGGTTCAAAACATCTCCACTAAATATGACAAGGGGATTAAGGTGCTGTGCCTCACAGTGCCTCACATAGGCTGCCAGCCTTGCCGCTCCTCCCTGGGGCTCATCCTTTTGGGGTTCGATGTTGTACACGTCGTTGAAATGTATTATTGTTACCTCGTTGTTGTTCATATTGAAGTTGTATGATTTCTGCAATGTTCACTTCATGATCAAGCTTTCTGTAATAAACAAACAAGGTTTCCCTGTACTTCTGTATATATATATACAAGTAGCCATGACTAAAGGATAAACTCCTCTGTATAAATGTATTGTAATCTGTAGATTACTACTCTATGCGTACCATATTTGTTGTATGAAGTGCCCAACTTTTCAGCTGACAGGATATAACTCGCCGAGTTATTATTTCATTTCAAAATACTTTATTTTTCATACGATAGTATATATAATTGATATAACATACAGATAGTTACCAATTGAGAATGTCATTACTGTAACACAAATTGATAAGACAACAGGCTACGTGTATATTAGTCCTAAACTAACAGGCTATGTCTACGTGTATATTAGTTCTTAGATATTTTTTATCCATTATATATAGATATTATAAACAAGAGGCCCTATGGGCCTGCATCGCTCACCTGGTATAAATCTCACCCTTGTAACCTTAAAAGTGATCTAAAACAAAGCTACAGGCAAAATATCAGTATTTATGATTAAAAGTCATTCAAAAGAACCTGTTAAAAGATTTAAAAACATTTCACCCCTTTGACCTTGACAGTCGAGCAAGGTCATTATGTTGAACAGAGTTCATAGCCCTTCATCACAGGATGCAACTTGCAAAATATCACCACCCTAATCTTTGTTTATTAAAATTAGGTCATTTAAATGTTTATGCATATTTGACAAAATGTGACATTGAAAGTGTGTCAAGGTCATTCACATGAAAAAGCTTGAAAGCCCTTCATCAAAGCATGCTACTGGCTAAATATCAAAATTCTGGGACTCATGGCTATTCAGAGGAAGCCTTTTAAAGATTTTAAACAAATTTGACCCCTGTGACCTTTAACAGAAGTCAAGGTCATTCTATTTAACAAACTTGGTGGCCCTTGATCCCAGCATAATACTGACCAGATATCATTATTGTAGGCCTTATGGTTATTCAAAAGAAGTTGTTAAAAGATTTTAACATAATTCAAGGTCATCTATTTGAACAAAAGCATGCTACTGGTCAAATATCATCACCCTGGGCATTTTGGTTATTCAGAAGAAGTTGTTTAAAAGTTTTTAACAAATTTGACCCCTGTGACCTTGACAATTGGTGAAGGTCATTTATTTGATCAAACTTGGCAGCCCTTCATCCAAATTTGCTTCTGGCCAAATATCATCACCCTAGGCCTTTTGGTTATTAAGAAGTAGTTGTTTAAAGTAAAATATTGACGCTGGATGCTGGACGCTGCACCACGGCATAAGCTTACTTTGCCCTTTTGGGCCAGGTGAGCTAACTAACAAGAACTGCATCACAAGATGAAAACAAGACAAATATGAAATACTATGAGTGTACTATACATCACCTAGTGCATCCTGGTTAATATATATATATTGATTCCTTTCACTTTAAGGTCTGTAAAGCTCATTTTTTTGAAAATGTTTAAACGTTTTAACATATCTGACCTATGAATGTGACCTTCACAGCAAGTCAAGGTCATACTTGCCAACCCTTCCTATTCAGTAGGGAGACTCCCAATTTTGGACTTTTAAATTTAGTATTTTCAACCAGTGAATTTGCTTAATTTTTCCTATATTCTAAGATCTAATTATTTCATCCAAAAGGACAAGTCAAATTATGTAATTTTAAAGGGTTATTTTGACTCTAAGTGGTATATACACACTTTTTATTTATGTTTTAATTTTTAGAATGGCGAGTATGCAAGATAATTCATTTGAAAATTGAACTAACATGATGAAACTTCTGCCAAACAAGGTAGAGCTAACTGTCATCACTTTAGGAATATGTTCTTCCCTGAAAAGTTCATTTATTTGAATAATAAACCAGATAACTTTTCATCTCAATAGTCTAGGGCTTATATTATGATATATATAGGCATCATGGTTCTTTAGAAGAAGTTGTTCAATGTGTTTCACATATTTCACCTCGCTGACCCTGAAAATGTTTCAAGGTACATCATTTAAACAAACCTAATATACTACATATAACAGCAAGATATAAGACAAACTTCATTACCTAGAGTTCTCAAGAATACAATGAAAATGAGGAAAATTGACATTGGAAAAATGGATAATGCACCATCACATATACGCTCACTTGCTAACTCAGCTAAATTCAAACACAAAATGAACTGACTGTACATTGATAAGAGGAATCCATTCTGATCCTTTTTGTATGAATGCAGCAATGTATATGGAATTTCGGAAAAAATTGCAGTTTCATTTTTTTTTTAAATCTATTCAATAAGCATCTCCCTACTCAACACTTCAAAATTGTAAACAGCCTGGTCTCTTAATACAGTGTGTACTGTACTGAGGTATTTAGAATACACTAGTACACACATGTAGATCACAGCTGTGAAAGTATAAATGTGACCTAATCCTATTGATATCCTATTTTATATTAATCTACCATTTACTTGCAATGTATCTTTTACTTCAAAGTGAACTTTTTTTCACTAACATTCATTCACAAGAGGCATATAGGGTCTGTACCACTATCATGGAAACTTTAATAGGCGTGTTAGAACGTTGGTGACAGTCATTTACCATATGAAGGGTTTATTACTCAATCGTGTTTTTGACCCAAAATTATTTATTTATTCTACCACAATTATGAAACAAGTTATTTCAATTTATATTAAGTTTTCTTGTTGGCCCGGATATTAGCAAGTGGGCAATCTTATTGTGGGAGGAAACCAGAGTACCCGGAGAAAACCTGAGTGATCGGGCAGGTGACCCCATACCTTTTTGCGTTCGATCGGGAAATCAAACCCGGCAGCCTTGGTGAAAGGTAAGTGTGCTAGCCACTGCACCACCCCACCACCGAATAGTAAATTGACGTGAATTATGATTTCATGACATGACATGAGAAGGAACTAAATTTTTGCAGTGTTTTAGCACAGAGGCGGGACACTTGGCATATAAAGTGTCAAACAGTCAAACGAATATGCATTATTACAGCATACTGAACAACAATAAGTTCAGTGTATCTTGCAAATCATCAACAAAAGTATTAGATGTGTGATATAATCCTGATTTTAATTTTAACCATCTTCATTACTATTTATGTAAATGAATCGTTATTTCATAACAACATTTTCTCCATGGTATTTTCTAATGTGTTCCTTTGTGTCCTTCTGTTTGTGACCCCAATTTTGATCACTGTATCCCAGTAAAGGCTCAAGACTTTCACCGGACTCTTGTCATTTAGCAATTTCGAATTTCAAAAACACAAATCCCTTTCACTTGGAGGGATTGAAACACATGAGGTCCAATAGACATGTCTTTTTAAACCCAAGACACACAGGGTTTCTTCTCAATACCACTATGTTCGCCACTCTTGAAGCATTGGACAGCCATTCAAGTAGAATGCTAACATTTCACGCCTACATGTGAGAAACAACCTGAACATGATGTCACTACCTTGTTATAATGATGTTGATAGTGTGTACCATCACCATTCATTGTAATGGTATGAATTAAAGCCATTGTTTCCCTGATCAAAAACAATAATCGTCACGTTTTTCCAAGAGAAATATATGGTTTCCCAAACATAATATGAACATTACTTGAGAAAGGTGACTCCAAACTTCAAACATTTTGGCCCTTGTGACCTTGCAAATGGGTGAAGGTCGTTCATTTGAACATACTTGGTAGCCCTTCATCCCAGCATGTTACTGGCTAAATATTGTCACCCTAGGTCTCCGAGTTATTCTGAAGAAGTTTTTTAAAGGTTTTAAACATATTTGACCTGTGTAACCTTGAATATAAGTCAAAGTCATTCATTTGGACAAACTTGGTAGTCCTTTATCACAGCATGTTACTGGCTAAATATCATCACCCTAGGCCTTTCGGTTATTAAGAAGAAGTTGTTGAAAGGTTTTAAACATATTTGACCTGTGTAACCTTGAATATAAGTCAAAGTCATTCATTTGGACAAACTTGGTAGTCCTTTATCACAGCATGTTACTGGCTAAATATCATCCCCCTAGGCCTTTCGGTTATTAAGAAGAAGTTGTTGAAAGGTTTTGAACATATTTGACCCCTGTGACCTTGAATATAAGTCAAGTTCATTTATTTGAACAAACTTGGTAGCCCTTCATCCCAGCATGCTTCTGGCCAAATATCATCATCCTAGGCGTTTTGGTTACTGAGAAGAAATTATGAACTTCAAAATTGAACAATATCACTCATATGAAAAAAGCTGATAGCCTTCTATCCCAGCATACTTAGTGGCCAAATATCAAGAACCTAGGACATAGAAAGAAATTGCTTAAAGCACAGACTTAGATCTTTGACATTGGTGACAGCTTAGTGCCATCATGTCACTTATGTCATGATATTAATCGCTTTACCTCTATGTAGTACAATACAAAGACAATGATTAATTTTCCCTTCAGTTATATGGACAAAATAACCTCAGAATTATGCCTAAAAATTATCCACTTTTAAGACAAACCTTTTATTTCATTTCAGGCACTAAAAAAATATTTTTCTGTCAAATTGATGTTACTTTTTATCTTCTTTTCAAACAAAAACAAAATTGTATGTTTTATGATTGGTAGTGCAATGAATAAACTAATTTGTAGTATGTACAGTCAAACTTGTATTAGGAGACCACTGGTGGAAAATTATATTTTGAAGTCCAAAAAGTGGTCTCTTAATACAGTCATTTCACAATAAATTGTCTACAATGGAGAACATTAAAATAGGCCTCTTAGCAACGTGGTCTGTTGATGGAGATACCTACAGGAGGAGAGTTGACTGTGTTCAGCATGTTACATTAGGATAGCTTTATTTATACTGTATGATATTTCCTTTAAATCTGTGATGTGGATATTCTCATCACTCTGGATGCCATAAAGTAAATCAATATTTCCAAACAAACAATACTTACATTTAATTAATTGAAGTAGGAAAAGTCACTTCTTTTTATGTAAATATGATGGGGAATTGATCTTTTAAAATTTAATACCAAACATGCTTCATTTGTGGTTTGAAACAGCATTATTTCTTATTAAGTGCAGTCAGTTTGGCAACACTGTAAAATCAGCTTAAGTTAGAAATACAAAATTGTCAGCAAATAAATATTTTGTAAATGCAACTTGTGATAAGAGGTTTGTTGCAGCTATAGCTGCAAACATTAATTTTGTGACACTTTTGTAGCAAATATTGTCGCATTTAAAACTTTTTTTCTTCAACACAAAATTGCAAGAACCTGTTCTTAAGGGATATCTTTATACTGATTAAAGACTTTAATATAATTTAAATTATACCAAACTTACATTTTATAATATTTTAATTTTTATGATTGATTGTAGGAATTTCTAATGATACAAATTTCTGTACCTGCATGACTATGGAAGTAATTTTTCAGATTCTGCTCTGCACGGAATATTTTCACTTCTTACATTTTCTAGACATATTGTACAAGTGCTCTTTTGTAAGCACATACATGTTTTCATATATATTTTGAAAGCAACTACAAAATTATAGTTTTGATATCATAACGGAATATCATCATTCATGGTATACATATAAAATGACATCAATAATTAGCTATTCATAATAAAAATAGTTTAATATAGAATCAGTATGAAAAACAAATAGACTTCAATACATGTACTTACGTTAGTAGGATTATACCATGGATTTAACAGATTTGTAACTGATACAAGCAGAAACGGGAAATTCATGTGATATACTAGCGTCAGGATATACACAGGATGTCACTTCCTCAGTGTTCATTTATATAGTATCATGCACAAAGGTGTGTGTGTATGTATTTGTGTTTGTAGTTTCAACAGATTTATTGCTACTGACAAATTTGAGAAGTAATAAAGGCAGATCATAAACTGTAAACACAGCCAGCAGTGACAGTTTTCTGTATACATCCTGCACAGGTACTTGCTAATTAAGAATAAGAAACATACATCTACTTTTTGACAGATTTTTTTTTCATTGCTCTGCACATACATACTGCATGTTTGTTCATGCCATCAAGTATTTGGGTATGGAATGTAAACACTGCTGACTGCATCTATGAAAAGCATTCAAAACAACAAAGTTCACAGGGCTAGAAATTAAATTGTTTAACCTGGTTACTGGCAATCGAACCAATCCTGTCCTGCTAAATATTAATGGCGGCAAAATATATATATTCATAGTTGGCAGTACAGGGTCTTATATGTCTGTGGGGTTGAAGACTTTCTTGAAGGAGGAGTGTAGCAGCCTGGAGTTGATCAATCACTGGTGACCAGCTGGTAGCTCAGTAATGTAAAAGGTCTGGTAAGACTCAGTTCAGGCGTCAAATCCGAGTCTTGCCGTTGCATTTTTCCTTTCTTTCTATAGAGTAATTGAAGTGATTGCAAAATGACTGTCCAAAAATGTCATTATAATCAGTGTGATGATTGTGGTCATTACTTGGCAGAAGCAGAAGTCTAAGCAAATGTAAAGATTCCGTGACATTTATTGGTAATGTGACACACAGTGTTTTTTTTATCTGTGTAGCGGAACTGGACTGGGTCGATCGTCGGCGACCAGATAGTTCAAAAGGTAGAGTATCCGTGTAGAGTTTGAGGGTCCCGGGTTCGAACCCCGGTCTGGCCGTGCATTTTTCCTCTCCTTTTACATTTGGCGCCCAACGAAATATATACCCACAGAAGGTAGCTGGTATAGGGTCTCATGTGTCAATCGGGGTCAAAGACTTTGTTAAAGGAGGGAGAAATGTAGCGGAACTGAACTGGGTCGATCGTCAGCGACCAGATAGTTCAAAAGGTAGAGCATCTGTGTTAAGTTTGCTCAGTTCGGAGGTCCCGGGTTCAAACCCCGGTCTGGCCGTACATTTTTCCTCCTGTTACATCTGCTTAATCGGTCAAAATGTTAGTGTTTACACATTTGTTAAATTACCCACCAGCTCAAAATAAAATTCACCTGATCTCATCCGTTTTTCTGCTATTTCTGTCTTAGTTAGTTGTGGTTCCCTTCATATAGGCCTAATTTGCAGTGCCTTGTGACTGTGTACCGGGAGACACTTGTCTTTAGCAGACGACGTAAGTGCATATTCTAACGTATGCTGGTAACCGTAATTATAATGTTGTCAAAACAAGTTCGTTGAATTAAAGTTAGCTATTGCATAAAAGAAAATATCGAAGTGATAAAAAAATGTGAAAAGAAAACTTAGTAAAACAATTTACCTCTTCAGGCTACCTGTCGATAATAATAAAGGCGGCGCTACAGTGATGACTTCCGTTGGAACTCTTCTGTACTTCCTTTTCAATATCGGCCATTCTGTGACGGTATGTTTCAGCCAAACGTCGAAAATAAATCCGTCTAGATATCGCCCATCGTTGAGATTTTTGCGAAAAGTTTTATGGGAATAACTTCTTAGATATTGCTTTCGCATCATTTGATTGGTATTTTCGATAAATATTTGTAGATGAGTGAGGTTGTTGTATATGAAGCTCGTGAAGTTGCACTTTTGCTCATGTATACAACAAATTGTAAATAAGGATAGGAAGGTGGTGTAATGCTGTAAAAAAATAAACAATAGCAGTTAGATTAAATGATGAACCTTTGCGTAAACTTGTTGTCTCGGTTATATTTTCTATTATCGGAAATACATCCAGAATAAGCACGAAGCGTATTATATTTTCAAAGTGATTTCTAACAACACCACTGCGATCTACCATTTAATGGAAAACTGTTCCGTAAAGGTTTGAATAAGTCGTTGTCGACATTTTACTCGGTGGAAAAGAGGAGATAAATCCTTTTCCAATACGTGCGCAAGCTAGACACCAAGGTGATTTAATATGACATGCTAACATTATCATATGTATACTCGTCTTATTGGTGTGTCCAACGCTAACACATGTGCCCCTCATCAGGTTGGGAACTCCCTCGAATTTTTTTAGATTGTTTACACGGTAAAAAGTTGGGAACCTGAACAGAAGTACATGGAGTGCTGTTAAAAAAATATGTACCAGCAAACAGGCAAAGTTATTCACAATTTGTACATGTTACCGCAGTGGTAATGGCACAAGGACTTGTAACACATGGCTGACACTTAACTATTATAAAAATTTATCTTGAACATGTACCAAAAAGGTTCTAAAATATTATCCCGTCAAGAGAAACAAATTGTAGGACGAGGAATAGTGATAAAGATAGTGTCGTCGCTGGGGCTCTAGCCCGATGCTCTACCTCTGAGCTAAAGGGAAATTCCCTACAGCTGACACTTGTAAGGCAACCTAATTGGTCCTCATTCTTTTCCTTTGTTGCCATGATCGATGACAGTTACCTTTATTGGCAGGTACACCAGACACGGGTTCCTATAAAAATAGAGCCATGCTCGGGTACTTTGGTAATTGTGACGGCCCTAGTAAACATGATTTTAATGTCTTATTTTTTTCTAAGAGCAGTTTCTGTACTTCCGTTCAAGTTTATAACTGTTTAAAGTGATGCATTTTTCTATGCAAGGTTAGTGTATCTCAGTATTTTGAGACCATCTCAGAAAGTATAAGTAATTAACCAGCATCAGGGTTACAGTTACTGCTAGTCCAAAATAACTATTTCCTTCCAAAAAATGTCTTGAACATCCTCTATAGGCTCTTTGAAAAAAAATTGTGCAACAGGTTTGGTTAAATAACCTTACCGTCTGTATTGAAAGTAAGTAGATAACAACATGCTCTGTAATAAAAGAAAAGCATTATTTTGAGTGAACAACATGTTGAAAGAATCGGTAAAGGACATTCGGACCTGTGACTTTTGGAAATTACTGAATAAAAGCATGATTTTTGGATAATAAAGCCATTTTTACATTGAATTTGGGGAAATGCAGCAGAGATTTTCTATGGAAAAGGGTCTTTATATTATAAGGCACCAAATTCAATCAAAAAATCTCCGATAGGAGATAGTTAATTCAGACAAAGTTAATATGTAATCATTGTTTATCATTTTATCAGAAATGTAAGAGATCACAAGTAATATTTAAACTATGGGATTTGCGTTTTTACTCTCTTTGTCTTGGGTTTTAATGTCTTCTGCATTGCCTTGTTAATAATTTCACAATGTATCGTGATAATATCAAAATCATACTTTGTTATAGCCATGGCCCCAAAGAGAGCAAATGTGGTGCCCAATGGGCACTTCCACAAGGATTGGCAACGTATGGTGACAACATGGTTCAACCAGCCCATGAGAAAGAAGAGAAGGCATCAGACTCGTGTCAAGAAAGCCCACAGAATTGCTCCACGTCCAGTTGCAGGAAGTCTGCGACCCATTGTCCGATGCCCAACATTTAAGTACAACACAAAGCTGCGAGTTGGAAAAGGATTCACCCTTGATGAACTCAAGGTAAAGTCTTAAAATTAATTTCAATGATAGCATTGAAAAAAAAAAAAAGTAGTGACTTGTTATAGGCATAAATTGATGCAGGATCGACATCAAGTCTTAAGGTAGGTAGCTAAGAGTTTGATACCTGAACTTTTCTTTTTTAAATCCTTAACTTTGTTAAAAAGGTTGACAGTGACTGGTAAAGTGAAGAAAAATGTCAAATGAAAAACATGTATACACATAGATGTATACAAAAAAGGCCTTCATGATTTGCAATATTTGGTTTGGATTTTTAGAGATCAAAATTTGGCTCATTCCTAAAATAAATAAGTCACTCATGGTTACGTATTATAATTGCCCTCTGTTTGTCACCAAATTATCCATCTTCACTAGCCAAGTGTTCGCTTCGTATACACTTCACTTTATACCCTTGACAGGTATAGCCATGTTTTCATAATTCCTTCCACTGCCACCTAGCGGATAAACCAAGTTATTGCTCTTCCCCAAAACAACTTTTAACCAATCTGAATGACCGTTACATGCATACTCCATCAGCGTTTTTACATAAGCATGTGTATGTCGAGGCGGAGTATTATTGACGGCGCAATACAGAAAAAATCCAAAGGCAGCACACCTGTTTTCCTAGGTCATCATTTACATGTGGCACGTAGTCAAGGACTTCCATCAACTTATTTAACACTCCAAAAGTTTCCCAAAAGATCGTCCTCCTATTTTTGGGGGGTAAAACACTGACACATTGACAACGTGCTTCCGTACAGGGCATCACCATTACTGTTTTCCTTCGGCAACAGCGCTATATGTAAGACGCAATTTCATTGGATGCGAGCGATTGGCACTGCACGAAAATATGAAACCTCAAGTTGGGGTTAATAAATATGAACTTTATTTACAGCAATTATGAAACAGGTAAAATAACACATATAAATCACTATAATGAAGGGACACCATACATCATAAAGTGATACTCGAGAAGGGTCTGTGTAACATAATGCAGAGTCTTCAGATCTTATGTCCCCTGAAAGTTGTTCCTGGACTTATCATTTGTATTCAATATGACCTTTATTGGGGGACACTTGCCTCATTTAAAGTTAGATCCAATAATATCATTCATGATTTCATTCAGGTGGCCATTTAGGCCCATGGACCTCTTGTTTAGATTTTTGCTGCTCACAGATACAGTTCCATTGCTGTTATTCCCTTGCATATGCTTTATAATAAATGAGGGCTTCAGAATATCATATAATTCTTTCAAAAAATTAGAGTAAAAATTGGATCTGGAACTTATATATGATGTCAGTTGTTACTAGTCTAGCTAGCGATTCCCAAAATGCCCAAATGAAGAAATTGTACAATCTGTTTACTGATGGCTAATGTTTAATATTACAGCAAGCTGGTATCAACAAAAGACTGGCACTGACCATTGGTATTGCTGTGGACTACAGGAGGAGGAACAAATCTGTCGAATCACTCCAACAGAATGTCCAGAGACTGAAGGAATACAGGAGCAAACTCATTCTCTTCCCCAAGAAGCAGAGCAAGCCCAAGAAGGGTGATGCTACAGTGAGTTTTCTAGTAACAGTTCTAGAAATGTATTATCAATATACATTACCTCCATCTTCTGTTCCTCACAAGCAGAAAACAACATGATATAACGTAATTTAAATGAGATACAATAGAAACTGGAGATTATCTCAGAATCCAAATGACTAATGAAATTTGACATGGTGATATACTGTGTTATGTAGATGTGCAATAGGGATTTAAAAATTCTAAGGTTAAGGTCACTTAATGAAAATAAAATAGACGTGAGGGAGGGGGCTTAGGTCCTATCTAGGAATCCATAGATGAATCTTTTTGAAATTTGACATGGTGATACACTTATGTAGATGTGCAATAGGGGTTTAAAAAGTGTTTGAGGTCAAGGTTACTGTAATCAAAAGAAGACCATTGGGCAGGGGGGGGGGGGGGGGGGGGGGGGGGGGGGTTGCTGACTTGTCAGTGTTTTAGTTGGAACATAAAACTTATATTTCTTGTTTTTTAAATATCTCAAAAAGGTTGGTATAAAAATTAGTGGTGTACCGATAATCGGAAACATCGATTAAATCGAGTTTGAAAAGGGTCAATCCAATAATCGATTTTGCTGATGAAGATCGATTATGTTCAATTGTATTGAAGAATTAAAATTTCAAAAGACAGTTATGTGCAATTCTATGTCAAATATTGCGTAATTTCCCGCTTCAAACCATGTCCACATTCGAGCGTCACGTAGTCAATGTCAGTGGTCGGTGAATACTTCAACAATTAGACAAGCACCTTGTAACCTCAACCTTCCCATCGGCGATTTACCCACATTTTCAAAGTTTGGATTTTTATGACATTTAGCGTTCATACATAAATTTAAATGTTGACAGATTAAAAAAATAACTCTTTTTATAAATCCATGATAAATTCTGCATTATGGCGTGCAAAACTGGATTAATAATGTTTTTTAGCTCACCTGGCACGAAGTGCCAACTGAGCTTATGCCGTGGTGCGGCGTCCGTCGTCCGGTGTCAATATTTTACTTTAAACGACTTCTTCTTAATAACCGAAAGGCCTAGGGTGTCGATATTTGGTCAGAAGCAAACTGGGATGAAGGGCTACTTCACCAATATTCAAGGTCACAGGGGTCAAATATGTTAAAAACTTTAAACAACTTCTTCTGAATAACCAAAATGCCCAGGGTGATGATATTTAGTCAGTAGCATACTAGGATCAAGGGCTACCAAGTTTGTTGAAGTGAATGACTTTGACTTATTTTCAAGGTCACAGGGGTCATATTTGTTTAAAATCTTTAAACGACCTCTTCTGAATAACCATGGGTCCCAGGATATTGATACTTTGCAAGTTGCATCCTGAGATGAAAGGCTATAAAATTTGTTCAACATCATGACTTTGTTTGACTTTCAATCACAGGGGTGAAATGTTTTAAAAAAAATAACAGGGTCTTTTGAATGAATTTTAATCATAAATACTGATATTTTGACTGTAGCTTTATTTTAGATCACTTTTAAGGTTACAAGTGTGAGATTTATACTAGGTGAGCGATGCAGGCCCATTGGACCTCTTGTTCCTTTTCTAACTTGAAGCAGACGCAACATCTGCACCGACATTATAAATTGGGTGGTTAATATAAAAATGGAATTGTATAGGGTAAATAGGCGAACTTGCTTTTCGTTGCGTCACTTGTATTCGTTTCGTATAATACATGCATCCGTATTTTGTATCAACCGAAACCGCCATATTTGAAAGCTAGTAAAATGAAGCTAGCAGGAGTGTTTTTCGGGATAAATAATTATTAATATGATATGTTATTGTGAATGGAGCATTCAAATGGGGGTAATTAATACCTAAACTGTGAGTACACCTAGTTGTCATCAAGTTTTGAGTCAAAACAGAGATATAATTGAATCCTTCCTTCCGCCTAGATTTCGGAAACAAGCATTTTCTCATCAGTCGGCACAATATCATCAGATAATAAATCGGCTGGCCTCTTATGTTACACGAATAGGTCATTTAAACCGATAATCGATTATCAATCTTGATTATTTGACCGATTCCCAGCACTAATAAAAATACATTCATGGTCTTGAAAACAGTTTTGTTTATCAGGAAAAAGAAAGATATATATAAACCATGTATTCTTTATTCCTACCTTCCACACCTGGTTTGATTGGTAGGCTTTCCGTATACTGATGTTGATTTGGAATACATGTATTTTAGATATAATTGGTAGAATCATGTTTCTTTTACATTATGTTGATGTTTTTGATCGGGTAAGAAAAAAAATCTCTCTTTTTTTCATCTTGGTAATACTGTGTTTGTCTGAAAATTAACTTTGAATTTTCCATAAACCCAATAATGTAAATGCAGTTTCATCAATGTGCAGTTCATTACTGGAACTGGTGGGTGAAATTTATCCAGAATTCAAACATGATTGTTGTACATCAATTTAATTATTTTTAAACAAACATATTTAAAATTTTCAAAAAAAACCTGTTGTTGCAATTACCAACAGTCAACATTTGCATCATCAATGCCGGTGCCATTATTTTGTCATGGAAATATTAATATCTTGCCAGTGGCACATTATCATCACTATCTTCTTGAAACGTCACATAAATCACAAAAACCAGTGTCCAAAGTAATTTTATGTAATTGTGCCCATGATTTAATTCGGTGCTTTTTCTGAGAATGTTGATTTTCAGCCAGTCACAATTTGTTTAATACCAGGTAATTGGGCCACAGATAATTCTGTGTAATATCGTAAAAACATAGTACAGATTCGCAACTGTTTCTTAAGGAGATATTAAGTTGTATAAAGGAATGGGCTCATAATAATAATTGATGTTCTGAATATTTCAGGCTGAAGAAATCAAGATGGCCAAACAGTTGTCAAGCGCTATCATTATGCCTGTGAGACAGGTTGCCAAGACCGAGAAAGCAAGGGCTATCACGCCAGAGGAGAAGAAATACAGTGTTTTTACTGCCCTACGACAGGCCCGAGCTAATAAGAAGTTGAAGGGCTTCAGAGAAAAGAAGGCTAGACAAAAGGCAGAAGAGGAGGCCAATAAACCTAAGAAATAGACTAAATTATTGGTATTCTGTGATGGGTCAGCCATTAAAAGCCTGTATAAGTAATCCATACATTTGTGTTTTTTCTTTGATGATTCAAATTTGGTAAGAGTCTTTTACAACGAAGACTAAACAGTCTCCTATCCGAGTGCTTCATGGTGTTTTGGTCACAGAAATAATCTTGAAAGAAGGTTTAGATCAGAAATATGTGCAGATTTTTTTATGGCAATGTTTGATTACCGGTAAATTATAATATTTTCACCAGAAGCTTAATTCTTACTTTAATTAAATGGCAATTAAAACAAAAATAACGATCCAAAATCATTGTTTCGTATATATATCACAAAACACTCCAGAAAGAAGTACATGAATTATAAAATTAGTATTAAATTGGAATAAGATTTTTTTCTTGTAACCAACCATCAAATACATCTCTTGCAAGTTGCATATATTCAGAATCTTTCCTTAACATAACTGCCATGTATAAATGGTTCCTTTCTTCTGTGATCGATTGATATTAAAATCTGGTCAAGCAGAAAACTTGAGAAAGTGATAATACTGTGTTTCTTCAAAATCTCCACTTTTCAAATGAGTAATGATGTCAGAACTCGGGTCTGTGAAGTAGTGTTCTACTCTGTGGTACTCTTTGTTTGAATCAAAAATATTCATTCATGGTCACAAGTCAAATCTGTTAATACCTATTTCTTTTTAACACAAAGGCCTAGAGTACTGGTATGGCTAGTTGCTCGCTTGCAACTAGTGTTACAAAGTTTGGAAAAAGAAATCACCTTGACACGCATTTAAGGTTACAGGAGTCGATTTTTTTGAAAATTCAATAGGCTTCCAAATTACCAAAAGGCATTGGGCCAGTCTTGATATACATGTAGATTGTATAGTTTGCAGGCAAAAACTGTTCAAAGGTGTCAATAAAAAATGCCCTTGCTATTTTTCAGGCCACTTGGTTCAAATATGTTTAAAAACTCTTAACAGCTTTTTCTGAAGGAACTGAAAGGCCTAGGGTCATGTGGCCATTAGCTTCCTCCAAACATAAGTGTCCTTTGACCTGATTTTAAGGTCACATACTGGTAGGTCAATTGTTACACTTGACAAGGTCTAGAGTACTAGTTGTGATGTATGGGCAGTAGCTTCCTTGCATGGAGTGAGGGGGGGGGGGGGGGGAAACACTAATTTACCCACAATTGAAGTCACAGGTGTCTAATTTGTCTTCATTGCTCAAAAGAATTCTGGAGAATTAAAAGTATAAGTCATGATATCTTAGTATTTGCCTTTCTGGAAGTGCCACACACAGCTTTTCGAAGGTTAGTTAACATGAATGACATCAATTTTTAGCCTACCTGTGTTGTGTGTCCGGCGTCAACATTTTACTCTAAACACCTTTTTCTCAATAACCAAAAGGCCTAGGGTGATGACATTTGGCCAGTAGCATGCTGGGATGAAGGGCTATCAAGTTTCAAGTTTGTTCAAATGAACAACTTTCAAGGTCATAGGGGTCAAAGGTCTTAAAATCTTCAAACAACTTCTCACAACCAAAAGCCCCAGGGTATTGATATTGGGCATATAGCATGCTGGGATGAAGGGCTACCAAGTTTCAAGTTTGTTCAAATGAACAACTTTCAAGGTCATAGGGGTCAAAGGTCTTAAAATCTTCAAACAACTTCTCACAACCAAAAGCCCCAGGGTATTGATATTGGGCATATAGCATGCTGGGATGAAGGGCTACCAAGTTTCAAGTTTGTTCAAATGAACAACTTTCAAGGTCATAGGGGTCAAAGGTCTTAAAATCTTCAAACAACTTCTCACAACCAAAAGCCCCAGGGTATTGATATTGGGCATATAGCATGCTGGGATGAAGGGCTACCAAGTCTGTTCAAATGAATTACCTTGACCCACTGTCAAGGTCACAGGGGTCAAATATGTTAAAATCTTCAAATGACTTCTCAATAACGAAAAGGGCCAGGGTACTGATATTTGGCATGTATCATGCTGGGATGAAGGGCTACCAAGTTTGTTCAAATGAATGAACTTAACCAACTTTCAAGGTCATAGGGGTAAAAGGTCTTAAAATCTTCAAACAACATCTTCTCATAACCAAAAGCCCCAGGGTATTGATATTGGGCCTGTAGCATGCTGGGATGAAGGGCTATCAAGTCTGTTCAAATGAATTACCTTGACCCACTGTCAAGGTCACAGGGGTCAAATATGTTAAAATCTTCAAATGACTTCTCAATAACAAAAAGGGCCAGGGTACTGATATTGGGCATGCTGGGATGAAGGGCTACCAAGTTTGTTCAAATGAATGAACTTGACCAACTTTCAAGGTCATAGGGGTCAAATGGGGTAAAATAACATAAAATCTTCAATCGTTTTCTCAATAACCAAAAGGCCAAGGGTACTGATATTTGGGCCTGTAGCATGCTGGGATGATGGGCTACCAAGTTCGTCAAATGAATGACCTTGACCCACTTTCAACCTGATATCCTTGTTCAACATTTAAGGTCACAGGCGTCATGTTTAAATCTTTTAATAGGTTCTTTTGAATCAAACACTAATATTCTGCCTGTAGCTGTATTTTAGTCCACTTTTAAGATAACAAGTGTGAGATTAATACCAGGTGAGCGATGTAGGCCCATTGGGCCTCTTGTTACATATAGGCAAGGTCATGGGTAAAATTTTAAAATAAAGCTGTTGCATGCACATTCAAATGTACTAGAGTGTATTTAATTGTATTCATTATGTGTAGTCCAAAAAAGTGTTTAAATGTTTGTACAGATAAAAGAAATATATAAATTTGACTTCTAAAACTATAATAAAGCCTGGTGGTTTAAGAAGAATAAAAAGTAAATATCCAATAAATCAAACGCTCAAATATTGCTCTTGATAGCCAACAGATAGCACCACAAAGTTTCTTAATTTCTCTGAATGACTAAATCCTGAAGTCTGCATGCACTGCCAGTGTTTACAGTCCAGCTACGAGTCTGCTTTTCAGCCCACCATCAACAGAGAAAAGAAAGCACTGATGCTAAGTAATGCCTCCCGTGGCACCACCTTATATCTGTATACATAGAGAATTATCACATGTGAGGAAGGCAATCAGTTCTGCCCCAGACCCAGACATAACAAAAGCCTTTAAAATGATGGTTATCGAACCAGTATTCCTTTAAGGTTAGCACAATGACTGGTTAGCTGTTGTCAGTATAATGTGACAGTGGAATACTGTGCTGGATGTGTCAAACGTACAGTATTTCAATGAGATAACACTCAAAAGTTTGCATCAGGTCTGTGGATTTGAAAGGAGTTAAATCCCTTGTAAGACTTAAATGCCTAGGGATGTAGGATAGGAACAATGACTTCATTTTCAGCTCACCTGCCCAAAAGGGCAGAGAGAGCTAGTTATGCCATGGTGTGGCATCTGTTGTCTGTCCGGCATAAACTTTTTTTGTTTAAATGACTTCTTCTCAATAAGGCTTTCAGTTGATGATAATTGGCCAGTAGCAAAATGAAATGAATGTCACTAGGGTCAGATGTTAAAATATTAGATCAGTGAGATGATATATGGTCAGTCGCATGCAAGAAAGGAAAACTAAACAGTTGTTCAAACGATTGACTTTGACCCACTTCCAAGGTCACTTTAGTCAAATATTGAAAAAAATCTTCAAACAACTTATAATATGAATAACTAAAAGCCCCAGGGTTATGGTATCTAGCCAGTAGCATGCTGGGATGAAGGGCTACAAAGTAAAATTTATTGACTTTGACCGATTTCATGGTTCCTGGGATTAAATCTTTAAACAAGAAGCCCAATGAGCCTGCATCACTCACCTTGTATTAATCTCACACTTGTAACCTTAAAAGTGGATCTAAAATAGGCTACAGGTGAAAACATCAGTGTCTATGACTTTCAAAAGAATCTGTTAAAATGTTCTATGTTGAACCCTGTGACCTTGAAAGTCTAACAAGGTCATTTGATTGAACAAACTTTATAGCCCGTCATCCCTGCATGCAACCTGCCGAATATCACCCCCCTAGCACTTTTGTTTATTGAGATGTGGTCTTTTAAAATTTATATACATTTTACCATGTGACTGAAATTGAGTCAAGGTATTCACATGAACAAACTTAAATGCTCTTCATATTGAGCAAACTACTGGCCAAATATAACCACGCTGTGAATTAGTTATTCAGAAGAAGTTATTTTGATGTTTTCAGGGAAAGTTGTTTGAAGGTTTATTAGTGAAGATCATACATTTGAACAAACAAGATAGACTTCCCATCAACCAAATTACTAGCCAAGTATCATCACCTTTTACAGTAAGCCTTTTGGTTTTTCAGAAGAAGTTGATGAAAGGCTTTTTTAAGACAATAGACTCCTGTGACCTTGAATATGGGTGAAGGTCATTCATGTGGCCAGGTGAGCTCAACTTTTAAACAGTTTCTTCTGAATAACCAAAAAGGACCTAGGTGATGATATTTTGCCAGAAGCATGTTCATATGAAGGACTATAAAGTTTGTTCAAATGAATTACCTTGACCCTTCATTTGGGTCAAATGTTTAACAAGGGTACAGCGAAAGCAGAACATAATATGCCCGTCATACATTGGATGAGCAGTTGTCTGTATGGCTGTACATAAAGGGCCACAACTCCATAATTATGGTTGGACAATGGTGGTTATCAAACTTGTCAGAGCTGTCATAGCAATGAACCTATGACGTTTGTAGTTAATCCATTGAAAACTACTCAAGCAAACACTGTCTTGGCAAATGAATAAAGGGCCATAACTCTGTTAATTAGTGTCTGATACTTGCGGTTACCAAACTTGTCCAAGTTATCATGGTAATGAAACTTCCTGTGAAGTTTGAAGTTAATCTGTAGAAAACTACTCAAGATATCAACTGGACACCATTTGCACCTGCCGGCTCACCTGATGTTGCTTAATTCATCCCATTTTTATATATTCGCCCTTGGTTAACTTGAAGGTTACTGGTGTGAGATTAATACCAGGTGAGAGATTCAGGCCCATTTGGCCTCTTGTTAATTGATATGTATT